TTTCGTGGCAACACCTACGCGGTTCAAGAACGTGAAACGGTGCCCTATAGGCAAGGCGCCACGCAAAAGGGTCGTCCCCCAAAAAGTGCGGCGGAACCTCAGCAAACATCACTGAAATGGACAAAAGTGGGTATAATAAGGGTGGTTCTTAACGACCAAAAAAACACGGAACATTTCACGGAAACGTGTTTTCTTGAACATAAACGGAGGCGTTTTTCCCCGGAAACGTGAAAGGAAGGAGCCGGGATTTTTCGAGGCTTGCTACTTTCACGGATCCGTGTTTTTGACAGAGAAGCATCCGACAAGTGCACCGCGGGCACTGTGTATGTATGTATGTGACATCACTGAGAACGCTAGAAAGACCTGCCAGACTCACGTCCAGGTCTGTTGTGGAGATGGACAACCGGCAGAAGAAGCGGCGTTCAATCCGTTTTTGGTCCAAAACTAGACATTGCGTAGCGCTCTCGGCTTCAACTGCTGCTGCTGGTGCTGGGGAATTTTTTCAATCACACATAGCAAACACGGAAACAGCAGTAGAACGAGTACAGCAACAGCACCAAGACCTCCAACACGCTGATACCTTCGATTCGGCTGTCTATCTATCTATATGATACCATCTCCCGGCGCCGTACTGCTTCGTGGGTATTGGGTGCTTGGGTGCTGCTCAATAAGGTGTGTGAGAGACGTGTGCCACCTCACCAAAAATAAAAAAGCCGTTGGAAAAAATGCGGCGAGATGTTCTGTTTTCGGTCTGACACGTCAACATCAATCCACGGCACCACGCAGCAGAAGAGCAACAGGGCCTCTGACACGCTAATTCTTTCGGATTGGCCATCTATCTATATGATGCTGGCCGTCAGCGCGGCTGCCGCCCTATGATTGTTGAGCTCGTCTACCTTTGGGCAGGTGGTGGTCAAAGATGGGAGTCGCAACCGTGGAAAATGAGCTGGCAAACTGAAGAAGTCGCAAGCAACACCCAGGTTGGTTGCGACACTCTGCCCTGCGCCTGTTGTTGCTGAAAACTGAAAACAGCAGGCCGGGTGGATAGGATCTTTCTAAGTGTGTTGTCCTCCGTCTCGGGTGCTGCTCATTGCGCTTTTGCCGCTGCTCTATGGTGAGCTACACGAACTCAACATGTTGTGTGCCGAGCAAAGCGTGTATTCAGGGAAGGAAGGAAACGTACTTTTTGCGATGACATCACGAATAAATAGAACAAGCGAAAGAAAGCCGGGTTTTCTTGTCACCGTTCCGTGGAAAATTTCACTACTTTTCCGAAGCGTTAAGAACCACCCATGGGGTATACCCACGCCATTCTCGGACAAAAGTGGGTTCTCGAAAATCCAGCGAGCGCGCCCTTCTCCATATAGCGTCCCCCAAACGACTCAAAACCCTTTCTGACCCCTGGGCGACACAGCTTGGGACCATACACAAAACGGGCATCGGTTTTTTCCCAGATTCAGGCACACCTTCGACCCTAGTACCGCCGAGGTGCGCATGACCTCACCCACCAGAGTGCCCACTTCTGCCCGAGATCGCGGTGGGTATAATACGGTCGCCCCGGTGGTCTAGTGTGGGTAACCTCGCAGCCTGCTAAGGGCCAGGTCATGGGTTCGAGTCCCGGCAGAGTGAGTTTTTTTCTTACTCAATAAATCCTGGTCTAGGATGAAAGCGACGCGGTGCAAAGCTCGTTGTTAGTAAACCATAATCGATTTCGTAAGTCGCGAGTGAAGGGATTGCTGTACCCTTCTCGCGATAAAAATAATAGAGGAGTGGCCAAAATCGGGTACACCCGGCCCCAATCCGGCCATTATCGGGTACCTACCTTGTTTTACACAGTCGGCAGCGCCCTCCTGGCGCCATCTGATTGGCCGACGCCCGCCCCTACCCGGCCCTGACCCTATTCCCACCGGGTGCACCCGATTTTGGCTACTCGCCCCCCGGAGGGGTACCCCATCATACTTTCGCCTACCCGAAAGTGGCTGGGCTCTATTCGACCAACAGACCACCAGCAGACCACGCTCACGAACACACGTCACGAACACCCAGCACTCGAGTTCCGACGCTTCCGACGGTGGGCGGAGGCGGACCTAACACGGCTAACGCGGCGGAACTCTCGTTTGAAGTGGATCTCTCTCTTCCAAGACTCCTCCTGCAACCCACCGCCGACGGCGGAACTATGTCGGTTCTCGTTTCGTATCGGAGAGGGAGGAGAGAGAGGGCCAGGCGGGCGGCGGTGGATGAATACCTCTCAACACCTCACGTGATCACTTGAGCTGCACACAAATACATGACGCAGCTCAGATATGTCCACGGAATCATCAGGCACAGAAGCATCAGGATGTCGCTTTCGTCTGAATACATGTATAGACACATCAAGACCGGAGATGTATGGCACGTTGTTGTGTACGCAGAGGGTCGTTCGTACACAGCAATGCAAGAAGAGGTAGGTGGGGACAAAAAAAGAATATTCTGTATCTGTTCTTACCATAAAAAAGAAGAAAAAATCCCGGCGTGGGTATCCCTCCTGTGTGACCCCGGACGGTGCGTCTAGCTAGTTGTAGAGTGGTACCAAGTACGCTGAGAAGTGTAATAAATTGCACGTACGCGGCAAACGTGTAGTAGTGTGCACCGAAGAAGGGTAGACTAAGAGTTATCGTGCGTGCTAATAGCATGCACGATTCGGTGGTGTTACATGTAGTCACGAAAGGGGAAAAATCGCGAAAAACGAGAAGAAACAAAAGGCGCTTACAGGAACCGTTCAAGTCAAGGATGCCGTGTGTGGTGGACTGTATATGAACGTGTGGTGGAGTCGTAGAGCGGATCGGCGTGCCCAAAAGCAAGCTAGGCGATTGTGATTGTCTAGTCAGCGCTTTCCTCGTGGTGTTCTTAGTTCGATTCATGGAGAAATAATAACGTCTTCCATCGGAGAAAAAATGCCGTTCGTTTAAGCCACTTAGACCACTATTGTAATACGACGAGGCAAATTTCACGCACATGCTATCAAACGCATACTGCTGTACAGACTCGAGACAACCAAGAAAATAACGCACAACCAATATGTTGCAAAGCCTCGACCACCTCCCGGACCATGATGACGAGAAATTTCCTTGTAACAACTGAAGAACTGCAGCACAGCAACATAGGACAAGAGTTTACTGCTACCGTACCGCAGAGTTGGGCCTGTATAAGGATGCGTTGCCAACATCTACGACAAGTCCCTGATGTCTCTCTGCCGTGCTGGTTTAGAAACGTACAGTATGCTGAAAGGAACGATGGTTTAGCCTTGCGCAAAAAGCTCTCTGCTTCTACATTGCCAGAAGACTCCGCGAAATGCTCCATCCAGCGGGCCCAAAAATGAAGACAGCTCAGCATACGGTGGCGGTCCCTTCCCCCCCTGCGCCCGCCCCATGCCATCGTCGCCGTCGTCGTTCTCGAGTAGCTCTAGCTCGTCGTCAGAAGGGTTGGCCTCTTCCACGAAGATGCTGTTGACTTTCTCTGACAGCACGTCCTGCGCGTCTTGCTGCAAAGCTTGCTGAACCTCCTCTTCTTGCTCCTCCAGCCCTGCCTAGGCCAGGGTCGCATTGACGGCGGCCATGTGGGCAGGCTGGCCCGGGACGATGTCGAGGTTTGTCAGTACCTCGCACAGCTCCTGATCTTGAATGCCGGGATCTCGATCTTCTCAACAAGGGTAAGCTTCCCGCGCTTGCTTGCTCCGCCACGCGCTGCCTTCTTGGAGGTGGCCGACCTCCCCTGAGGCAAAGTGGAGCCGGTCGCTTTGCGCCTAACGGCGCTAGATAAACTGCCGGCAGCCGGCTTCTTGTTGGCGCATGGTGTGCAGATGCGGAGTGTCTCGGAGCTTCCCTCGTCAACACCCTCCACGTTCTCCATATTGCCACATCCTTCGTGAAGCCGGCCGCCACAACCTCCGTGGGGGCCTTCCGGCGAATGGGTGCGAATGCCGTGGATGTTGGAGTTTCTGTCGGTAGGGAATGTACGCTAAAGTTACACCAGTAGACAAGTCGCGGCTGACTTGTCTAATGGTGTAACTTTAGCTTACAAAAGATATACGCTCAGCTCATTAGCACCCGGCTGGATCACTTGGGTCTTCTATGGCTTTTAGAGAGCAGAGATCTCCGGGAATGAACCCCTCGCCAGACGCTGATAGTTCTAGGTGCACTTTTTGCAAAGAAAAGTGATCCAGCCGGTATTCGAACTCGTGCGGGTATCCTTCGCAAGCTAGAGACACACCATAAGACATGTCAGCGGCTGACTAGTCGAATGGTGTAACTTTAGTGTACATTAACAGTCGGGTTTTGAACCTGGATCTCATCGGTGAGAGCGATATATCCTAACCATTGGACTACGAAGGATATCAAACGTATTATACAAATCCTGCTCATTCTTTACGCTACCAAGCCAAGGTTCTATTTCTGAGCCAGGATTGACACGTAACATACGTGCCCGAGCGGGCAAAGCCCTGTTGTTCAGCGATGGCCTCAGCCGTCGCCTTGGCCGCTTGCGCCACCATGTGTGCGACGCTGCTGGGGTCGTTGAAGGTAACTGTTTAACCCTGGCTGGAGGGTGATGGCTGGCTGCCGGTGGGTGGGACTGGGTTGCCGGCTGATGGTGGTTGGGCGTAGGTGACTTCATCCTCGTTGATCCTGTTGGCTTCGAGTTCGGCTTGTACTCGTTGCTGGACGATCTCCTCCACTTTTTGCTGTAGCTCTTCCCTGCTAAGTAAGGGCGGCGAGGTCGATGCCCTCCGTGGTTTGTGTTGTTGTGGGAGCCTCCCGGAACCGGTTAAATAGTCAGCCCTGACTGGTCAACCAATGGTTCAACGTTTGGCGACAAAAGTTTCACGCGCGGGTTCGAAACCCGTCTATTGTGAATGCCACCTCAGACTGTCGTAGATTGTGACGTCAGATGACCTGTCGGAGATCTACCTTCGGGGTGTTACCACAGATAGAGTCAGTGCAGGTTGGATGCTGAACCTTGCTTCAACACAAGGTTGATCCCCACCTGCCTCACACACACACACTCGACTCAACGTTCCGTACATCAGACTCTCCACCAGAGGTTGATCCGGTGTGTATCCACACCGCCCATCCCTAAGGGAACTTGCTCACACGCGAACCTGGAGACAACAGTCTCATAGTGGCGTCAGCGGCGTTACGTGTGTTTGTTGAGTTCTTTGTTCGGTGGTGGCACTACCTTGCAGCAGTTGCCATCATGGGGAACAAGAAAAAATCGAGAAAAATACAAGAGGTCCACTTCCAGGAAGAGGAGGGGGACCAACAGCAGCTCGTCGACTTCGAGCCCGAAGGGGAGGACGAAGAACAACACGTCCTACCGTCCCCCACCGGCCTGTCGTCGCCGTCTCCATCGTCGTCGTCGTCCTCTTTGTCGGAAGACGAAGGGAATCGGTCGCACCGTTCATCGGATGACGATGATGGTGTGGACCGGTTATCGTCCTTGCAGTTGCTGGAGGCAACGTGCAAGGAGGAGGTGAAAGCGTACCTCCGAGCGTTGCGGCGTAGGCAGACTCCTCCGGAGCTCTCGCCAGCTACCGTCGCGTGGCAGCAGCGTCTCCTAACGGAGTCGGTGCCTGCTTCATCGTCTGTCGCAACAGCGTCAGCTACGTCGTCTCGTGGAGCCTCGTCTCGTGGAGCGAGTGCAACTTCAACTCCAGCGGTAAGTTCAAGCGTTCCGTTTTTAGCTCCGTCGTTGCCCAGGCTGACACCGTTGTCCCCTGGAGCACCATCGTTCGTTCCGTCCGCGCAGGCAACGAGTGGATCAAATCCCTCGCCGAGTCCGTCGCTCACTGCGCCCGTCAACACGTCTACTTCGGTGTCGTGTACGTCTAGTAGTGCAACTACAGCTAGTTCAACATTGCAAGTTGCACCTACTAGTGCGCAATCGTCCATCGTAGCGTCACCTGTTACTTCAACAGCACAGGTTGCATCTATGAATGCGCAATCGTCCGTCGTCACACCACCTGTTACTTCAATGTCACAGGTGGCATCGACTGCTGTAGCGACCGAATCCCCCGTTCGTACGTTTCTACAAGCAGCTACCGTTTCAATATCCGCGGCTGACCTCCGCAGCGTTCCCAAGCTGACTGGAGACCGTACAGAAAACGTGATCGAAATCTTGAAACATTTTCGTACGGTGGTTGGGCTGAAAGCCGCAGCCGTCAACACGGATTCGTCGTTTGCTGATGGGGTTGCACTCAAGCACGTTGCCCTGGTGGGAACAGGAGAAGTGTTGACCCTGATACAGCAGATCTTGTCTGGACAGATAGACTGTTCTAAGGCAAGCACGTTCACAGAACCGGAGGAAAAAGGGTCGTTTCCCCCTCTGACCACGTGGGATGCCATGTGTTCTGTTTTGCTTGATTCACTTCTTCCCGCAAATTCCGTGGAGGAGGAGGCACACAATCTCGCAACGTTCGTTCAAGGGCCACAGGAATCTGTTTCCTCGTATGCTCTCCGTTTCCGTACTGTCATGGCACGGTTCCAAGCTGCCGTCGAGCGTGATGGTAGTCGTACCGCTTGGAATTGCATGACAGAGTAGCTCTGTGGCAAAATGGGTTGACCCATCGTTATCGTTTGCTCTTTTAGAGCCAATACCGTCTCCGTCCCTAAAACTCAGTGCCGCAAATGGTGCACCAGTCAAAGTTTTAGGATTTATTTCGTTCGTTGTTCGGTTGGGAGACGTGTCCCGCCGAATCGATGCGTTGGTCGTACCATCGCTCGGTCCTGATCAAATACTCCTGGACAATGATGCAATGACTCGGTTTGGGGCAGTACTTGACTGGAAAAATGAACGTTTGACTTTTGAGTGTAGTGACACTATTGTCCCCGCTATTCATCGTAAAAAATCTCAACACGGTTATGATCCGTCGCCGTCCCCCCGTGTTGCAGCCGTTCATCGAAATGCGGAAGAACACTCAGTCAAATTACGTCAACGTTATAATATTCGCCCTCGTCATGCGATGATCGTAAAAGCATTTACTGAATGCATACCGTCCGTTGATACCGCCGTAGTAGTCGAGCCGCGTATTTTGTCGGCAGATGAACTTTCGTTCGATACTGTTCCGCCCGAATTTGAGCGTTTAATCGTGGCTCGTACCGTCTCAACATGGAGTGCTGTTGATGGTTCGGTAGTTGTCCAAATTGCGAATCCATCAGCTGAGTATCTCGCCGTACATGTTGGATTGGATATTGGAACTTTATCGCCGATTACTATGGTAGCACAGGAACAGCTTCACGTCCATGCTGTTGCCTTGTCTCCAAAAACCGCGAGTGAAATTGCTGCTGCTAAAGCTGAGCTGGTAGAACCGCTGTCGAAAGCGTTCGCAAATTCCACGTTCACTAAGGAACAGCAGACTCGTATTTTGGACCTGTGCGCAAAATATCGTCCCGTTTTTTCGCTGAATCGTAAGGAGCTTGGTAAATGCACAACTGCTCAAGCCACGTTTCCTATGCCGCCTAACACAAAACCGGTTAACCGTCGTCCCTACCGCGCAAACCCGCACACTGAAGCCGTTATCCAAACGTGCGTTAAGGACATGCTTGACGATGACATCATCGAAGAGCTGCCTAGTCAGTGGGGTTCCCCCGTTACTCTCGTCGCGCGTAAAGATGGTAAACCTCGTTTTTGCGTCGATTTCCGAAGCACCGTCAACAAGCACCTCATTCGCAAGACCTGGCCTCTAGCGAACATGGAGTCCAACCTTGACTCTGTCGGCAGCGCCAAGTTCATCAGCGTTGCAGACGTCCAGTCAGCGTACTGGCAGATTCCTGTTCATCCTGACCACGTCGAAAGGACAGCCTTTGTCACCAACTCTGGCAAGTACTGTTACAAGCGGATGCCGTTTGGTGTTTGTAATGCCCCATGGATTTTTACTGAGATGGCCCATAAAACGTTAGGTCATATTCCCGAATTGTTGATTTACATGGATGATTTCTGTGTGCTTTCAGCAACTTTCGAGAATCATATGAAGTCTTTGGAGAGCATGTTCGTAGCTCTCCAAGCAGCAGGTCTGACATTGAAACCTTCGAAGATTTCGTTTGGCCCCAAGTCCATCGAGTATTTGGGACATATTATTTCGGCTGAAGGTATTTCTGTCGGGAAGGATCGTATCAAAGCCGTCCAAAACCTTCCTACTCCTCGTTGCCTGAAAGATCTTCGCTCAGTACTCGGGGTGGTTAATTTTGTGCGCCGGTTCATACCGGATTATGCAGAAATAACCAATCCGTTGGTGGAGTTAACTCGCAAAGAGTACGCCACAAAATCACGTTTCGTAAAAGCTTGGAACAAATCGCACGACGCATCGTTCGCTCATCTAAAGCGGTTATTAACTTCAGCGCCCGTTCTACACTTCCCAGACTTCGATCGGGAATTCGTAGTTCATGTGGATGCATCCGAACATGGGTGTGGCGCGTTTCTTGCCCAGCCGTCCAAGGCTGATCCAGAGTCTCTTGACATGATTGCGTATTATAGTCATAGATTCAAACATGGGCAGCGTCATTACTCTGCGTCTATCTATGAAAGAGTGTTGTGGTGGTGTGGTTCTTGCAATTTCGCATTGGCGACCGTACTTATTTGGGAAACACTTTACGGTGATCACGGATCATCAAGCGTTGACTCATCTTTTTTATATGCAAGACACCAGCAACATGCTCACTCGTTGGGCTATCGCTCTTCAAAATTATGATTTTACCGTCAAACACGTAGCGGGAAAATTGAACGTCGTACCCGATACGTTATCTCGTTTATTTGGCGAAATTGAGTCCGAAACCATATCACACAAACCGGCCCTAGCGTCGATGTGTAGGAATGTGCCGAGTGATCGTCCGTACCATCTTCCTGGCCCTCGTGACTACGAAATTTCTGCCGATTCGTTGAACGATGTTGATATCGTCCATAATGACAACGAACTGTTTGCTAGTGCTGTATCGTTATTTCCTGTATGTACTGGATCCCGCTAAATTGCGAAGAGAACAGTACAAAAAGTTCGGTACGTATATCGACTACGTCAAGAAACAAACCCAAAACAGCACCGTTATAGGCCGTTATAGGCCCATGTTTATGCCCCATGTTTATGGTCACCAAATCTTTGAACAAAATCTTCAAAAGTTTCCAAACATTTGCGTGCGAATATTTGTCAGAGGAAGGTTTGAGTACCGCTGTTATGGGAACGAGAAAAATATCTTCGGCGGGACTGTGAGTTTCAGAGGCGTTTTGGTTCGTTTTCATAAAGCACGCGGCACGGGGCCCCCTTCTCTCTCACGAGCAACACGCGCACACCAGCTGGCGCACACAACTGNCTTCGGCGGGACTGTGAGTTTCAGAGGCGTTTTGGTTCGTTTTCATAAAGCACGCGGCACGGGGCCCCCTTCTCTCTCACGAGCAGAGCAACACGCGCACACCAGCTGGCACACACAACTGCTGTAGTTATCACTTTCCACGCCCACACACATACACACGCCAGACACACGCCACACCACACACACGCCACGCACACA